ACAGCCCTGCCACTACACCTGGAGACAAGCCATACCTGGTTTCCAGTCCTTGAGGGTTATGAACATTTTTGAGGTATCACTCTTAGTCTCTAGGATGTAGGTCTGGCCTTCCAAGTCAGTCCCCATCCTGTCTCACACTATACCCTCTCTGGCTTATAGACCCTTCTGAGGGTCCAGACTTCTCTAATTTTGCTCCCAAAAGGACACTGAGGGGAGACAGAGCGTGGGACACTGAGACTTGGTCGACAGCCTCCATTTCTCCATCCCATCTCCCACACATCCTGGCTCTTGAATTCAAACTCCAGCTGAGGTGTGGGGCCCTCTCATTGAGAGGTGTCCTTACCTACTCCTAAGCTTGTTGACCCAGCTGTATCCAGGAATGAGTTATGACATCAGAAAGCAGCAACTAATCTCTGAAAGGAATGGTTGAGTTTTCAGAGCTAGAATACGGCTTGGGGTCGGGGGGAACTGACAGCCCAAATCCTTAGGCTCCTGAGCTCTCTTTTCATCTCTCTGAGCGGTCTACCCCCATGAATTCCAGGGAAGCAGAAAGCTTCTGCTGGCATCCAAGAGACAAAGGGAAGGGGAGGATATAAGGAAAGACAGGTTCTGTCCCTCGACTTATTATTCCAGGAAGTCAAGAATTCTGGAGGCGGCAACTTCAAGGGTGGAGTGAGGCGCTTAGCAGGAACGTGGTGGGGGTGGTGAGATGGAATGTGGGGGCCTGGAGCCAGGAAAGCCCCACCCCGGGGCAGGGAACAGACTAGAAAGTGGGAAGTAAGGGCCCCCAAGAAGTGGAAATGTATATTTAACCTTGAGGAAAGGGGAGATGAGTTAAAAAAGAACCCAACATTCTTCTCTCCAGACTGTGCCTGCAGCAGGACTAGAAACCTACTAGTTTCACTTTAGTATTTCTCTCCTCATTTTCTCTCTGCTCCCCTCAGCCTCGATCCTTCCATCTGTTTGTATTGGTAGCTGGAGACACACTATAGGATGGGGTTGAGAGGAAGGGGTGTTCCAAGTTAGCTGGGGAGAGTTAATTGGAAAATATGAGGGTGGGGTGAGGACAGATAACAATAATAATGATCAAGAGAACTCCTCAGTCCAGGGCTGTGAGATGGCCCTCTTACTCATCACTCCTTTCCAGCCCACTAATCTGCTTCCTGTGTCACTCACAGCCGACATGTCCAACCAGCCATTGCCACTAGTCATACGCACGCCCCCAAACATCACAAACCCACACCAGGCTGAAGTCTAGGGGACAGAAGCTTTAAAAGAAAACAGAAACTCAGTGGATAAAGGTGAGCCAGCAACACAAAAAGGAGCAACTTCTGCCCCCAAAATAGGTAGAACAAAAGGTTTTTTTTTTTTTTTTTAATGTTCATCTCTCTGAAAAATTCCTGGTTGAAACTAGTCCATGTTTTCTCCAAATGTAATTCTTCCAGCTTTCTAAGGGTGGGGGTAAGTTGTCCCCAAAGATCTATACCTGGAGAATACTAAAATACACCCCAAAAAGAAAATCCGTAACAACTGTAAATGTTCTTCATGTCCGAAAGAAAGTTCTGGGCACCTAAGATGTAGGTGTGTAGCCTGATTCAGATGTTCACATGGCGGGCGGAGAGCGGGTGTCCCGCCCCCTCCTCTGTAGGCTCTAGAGTTCCTTGACATTCTACTACTTGGAAGGTCCCCCTTCCTCCAGGGATTCAGCGTCGTAAAGGCCTTTGGATTTGCGTAGGGGAGAGAGGGAAGACGTGTGGGGGACACGTCTTGCCTGGGAGAGAATAAGCAGATTTCAGCTCCCCTAAAGGGATCAGCTTTATAGAGACGTACTGAGAAGAAGGAGAGGACGACGAGGGGGCGCCCCCTCTAATCAGGGTCCCCTTGAAACTAAGAACTCCCCAAACAGCGGGGGTGGCTTCTCCAGTAAGGAAAGTGTTAAAACCCAAACGCTCCTGCATCCCCCTTCGACAGTTCCCTTACGTTATCCTTCCCCAAACTGGAAAGTGGGGAAACTCTGCCCTCCCATAAAATCGCCCCCAATTAGGCCAAGTTTCTTACCCAACAGATGGATCAGCTGTTCCCCTCACCTTTCACCAACAACAAAAACAGCACTCCGACTTCTCGGGGGGAGGGAGAAGAGTGGGCGCGAGGACTTCTGGGTTTTGTGGTTCTTCCGCGCCCTTTCGCCGCCGCGCGCTCGGATCTAGGACTACATATCCTAGAAGGCTGCGCGCAAGGAGGGCGGGGAAGAGGGCGTCCGTGGCGGCGGCCTCACCGCGGCGTCCTGGGAGGCGTAGTTCTCACTCCTATGACAGAGAACGAGGGTGTGGCCATCAAAGGACTTCACGGCCCATGATCCCTTAGGAGGGGGCCGGCTGCATGAGGGGTGGCTGCTGGTTTGTAACGTGCGTTGTTGGGGGCTGGGGAGGATTTACGGCTCTAACGCCTTCTGTATAACGCTTTAACGGTGGGCAGAGCGGTTTCTGTTGCGTCCCCCTCATGTACTTTTCACACCCCCCTGTGAGATAGGCGTTAGCGTTATGCACACTTTATAGATGAAGAAACTCAAGTACGGTTAAGGAGCCAGTGTGAAGTGTCAAAGCTATGAAATGTAGAACTGCACTAGCCTTGGCTGACTCCACGTCATATGTTCTTGCCACTACACCACAGCTACCCACCATTTTGGGGATGGGAAACTGATAGCTGGGGTATAGCAGTTTCTTCTTTACTTCAACCTCAGGGACAGACCTTGTAAGAATGTTGTGTTCTGCACAGTTGACCATTTTCTTCCAACTTAAGGATTTCAGTGCTAAGGGGCCTGACAATACGCATCTGGACTGGGCTCCCCTAGAGTGGCTTCTGGGTCTAGGAAGAGGATAAAATTGCCTGAGGTGGTGGTAGGAGCAGTGGAATGAGAAGAATGAAATTGAAAAGGGAGCTTGGCATAATTCAGGACCTGTCGCAATTCACAAGCCACTTATAGGGGCCTGTTTGCCCAAGCCTTTTAAGTGGCTTAAATTAATTAGGATAACAATATATGTTGACGTTCCGGTTTTTATTTAGGAGAGGTGAAAGATTGACACGTCTCCCACACCCCAAGTCACGTTACAGACTTGAGCATCCTACCCCCGTCTCGCCATTCTCCATCCCTCTAGTCGGAGGCATTCAGAATTACCTCTTTCTCTGGCTCTGCATTAAAGGATTACAGTCTTAAGGATTGATTTCCTCTTCCTAGGTGCCTGCTTTAATTCTCTACTGCACTAAGTTATGGAGCTTCTGCCTTTTCCAAGTTTTTTGGTAGTGTTTTGCTTTTATGACTGAATGCGGTGTCTGCCCTGAGTGTCTTTCATCTGAAGATCTCCAGGCACTTAACAATTAGTTACTGAGCTGCACAAACATTAAGGTGATGTGTCTGTGTCATTAGTCAGGATTTATGAGTTAGGGAACCAGTTTCTGGATGAGGAGGTAGCTCAAGGTCTGGAGTGGGTTAAGAGTGAGGTCTGTTCAAGGACCCAAGTCTCAAGTGTTCTAGGCTCTTGTCTTCCACCCAAAATAAGGGTCTGTAAGAAAACAGTCTCGGAGCTAAAAATGGGTGCTTATGATCTGTTCAAACTATGCTAAGAATTTTCCTATTTAATACAACAGGCTTATGTAATATGCCTTGTTTTTATCCCCATTTTACACATGATGAGATTGAGGCACAATTAATGACTTGTCTGGAGTCATCCAGCTAGTAAGTGGCAGAATCAGGATTTAAGCACAAGCAGTCACCATACTCCCAGTCCAGAAACTCTGGCATGTGATACTAACTCCCATTGTTCTAAGGAACAGTGCTGGTTCATTAACAGGAGACACATGTTCACTGAGCATTTATATGCTCAGTGCAAGGCACAAGGTAATGTGAAACAGATTAATTCAGATATGTGTGTCAGGTACTATGCTAGGTATTCAGTTAATTTTATTGAAATAATGAATAGAAAATATTCATTATTTTAAAATAATGAATGTAATTCATTATTTTAATTATAGTCATTACTTTCAAATATTCAAATATTTGAAGAATAGATTAAATTTGGATAGTTTGGCAAGATGGGGACTGGGGAGGGTAAGCTTCTTCTAGGCCAAAGCAAAGATTTGGAGGTGGGAATGGATAATGAGCCTAGAGTCACACAATAGCACATCAATTTCAACCTTTAGTTATTTATTTAGGCAAACTCAGATTATTGGTAATGTCTGCCTGAAATGTTGTATTGAGGATTCTGAGGAAAGAGTGCTGGGTAGCAATGTCTGCCATGTACTCCAGATGGAAAATGGCAGTTGTAGTGGATGGACTAATTGTTTGAAATTATTTCCTCTCTCATTCCTGCCCACTGCCATGTGACTTGCAGTATCTCCTGTAGAAGGAATAGATGTCTCATGTCATTGACTTTGGGCTTTGTCATGTTTCATGATTTGGCTGACGGGATGTGAACAGATGTGACTCATGCCATGTTTGAACACATGAGTTTCCACTTTCTTGTTCTTCTCTGCCACTAGAATGGGAATAATCCACAGGAGAGTTGCTCCTTCTGCCTGGGTCCGGGAATGAGAAGACCTGTGGAGCTGAGCTGCTGCTTGCCCACAACCTGCATATACATAAATCAGAAGCCAACATTGGTTGTTTTAAGTCCCTTAGATTTTGGGGTTGGTTGTGATTGCAGTAAAGCCGAATAAAAGCTACAGTTGGAGGCCAGGAATGGTGGCTCGCTCCTGTAATCCTAGCACATGAGGAGGCCAAGGCGGGCGGATCACTTGAGGTCAGGAGTTCAAGACCAGTCTGGCCAACTGGTGAACCCCCGTCTCTACTAAAAATACAAAAATTAGCCAGGTGTGGTGGCATGTGGCTATAATCCCAGCTACTTGGGAGGCTGAGGCAGGAGAATCGCTTGAACCCAGGAGGCAGAGGTTGCAGTGAGCCGGGATGGTGCCACTGCACTCCAACCTGGGGAACAGAGTGACACTCTGTCTCAAACAACAAAACAAAACAAAAACCAACAACAACAACAACAACAACAACAACAACAAAAGAAGCTACAGTTGGATAATTGGATAATGGAAGATAAAATTGGAAAGACAGACTTAAGCCAGAGTATAGAGAGTTTTGAATGTCAGGTGAGCCAGAGCCTGCTATGTGTTTATCAGAACCTATTTCTTTCTTTTTATTGGATACACAGCTGGACCACATTTTTAAGCTTCTCCTTTAATTAATGTGTTCCATTTTCAAGTCTGGCCCATAAAGCCCTCCAAAAAAGATCCTTCATTTTTTTTTTCCTGTCTAGCTTGATGAAGATGACCTTAGGCACAGCGACCCTGAAGGCCACATGTTAAAGATAGTGGAGCCACAGGATGGAAGGAAGCTGGTTCCCTGAATCATCACTTGGCAGAGAGCTGACCACTAATCAGGATCATGTGTTTTAGATTTCACTTGACCAATAAATCAATTTCTATTTTGTTACACTGCTAAAATGTGGGGTTTATTTTTATAGTAGCTACTGTTTTCCTAATCAATACATCATGTGCAGAGGTTTGGGCTTCACTCCCATCAGGAATGTGAAGTTAGTCACTGAAGATTTTTTGAAAAAGGGGAATAATACTGTGAAGACAGGTGGAAGTTACAGTTGTTGGGATCAAAGAGTATTTCTGAATGAGAGTGGGAGATTTGGGGACTGTATTTTTTTTTTTTTCCAGAATATAGTCTTAACTCTTGTCTGGGGAAGGGAGATGACTGCCATGATTGTCGAAGGGCTCCATAGAGCTGGGGGAGGAGTTGCTGAAAAATGAATCCATTTCCCTGAAATGTTAAGTCTTTCTCTTTTGTAAAAGTCCTAATTCTGGTATTGCCTCATCTAGCTCGGTGACCACCACATAATAAATGTTTAATGGAAGCTGGCCCTGGACTCTGGGAATGTTTTGAAGAGCTATCACTAGTTGAGTGCCTTCTATGTGAGAGGTGCTCTTTCATTCATTGAATCATCACAATAACTGTGCAAGGTGCTATCCAGATTTTACAGATGAAGAGACTGAGACTTTAAGAGTAATTTACTGCTGGGTGCGGTGGACCACGTCTGTAATCTCAGCATTTTGGGAGGCCAATGCCAGCAGATTGCTTGAGCCCAGGGGTTAGAGACCAGCCTGGGCAACATGGAAAAACCCTATTTCTACTAAAAATACAAAAATTAGCCAGGTGTGGTGGTGCACACCTGTAGTCCCAGCTACTCGGGAGGCTGTGGTGGGAGAATCACCTGAGCCTGGGAAATCAAAGTTGCAGTAAGCCATTGAATGCACCAACTGTACTCTAGCCTGGGCAATGAGAATGTGATCGGTCTTAAAAAAAAAAAAAAAAGAAAAGCCTCTAAGAACAATCTTATTCTGAAACCTATACCTTTTCCAATATAACAAAATGCTTTCTGAGAAAATAATAATGGCCAGTGTTATTAATAGTACTGAGTGTCTGCCATGTACCAGGCACTCTGCTGGGTGCTTTACAAACACACAGAAGCAGCTCTATCAGACATTGTAGGCTGTTCCGAATGTTTCCAAACTGTGGACTCTATGGGAAGTAGGAAAAACATTGATGTAATTTTAGCGCAAAGTTTGATTCTTTGGGGCTTTTCTTTAAGGTCTCCGGCCCATTTTCTTTTGTCCTCTTAGTTCCTTGGTTGACCTAGGGCTGGGTGGAAGATTGGTTTAGAGTTCTTAACAATACTCAGGTCTGCAGCTCCTTCACTCTGCAGACCTATCGAGCCACTCTACTATCAAAGTGTTCAGATCATATTATTATTATGTAATTTTTATCAATGAAACAACCAAAGTTCAGAAAGATTGAATAACTTGACCAAAGCCACATAGCTAGTATGAGATTTATCTATTTATTTTTGAGACAGAGTCTTACTCTGTCACCCAGGCTGGAGTGCAGTGGCATGATTTTGGCTCACTGCAACCTCTGCCTCCAGGGTTCAAGCAATTCTTCTGCCTCAGCCTCCTGAGTAGCTGGGATTACAGATGCCTGCTACCACATCCAGCTAACTTTTGTATTTTTAGTGGTGACGGAGTTTCACTGTGTTGGCCAGGCTGGTCTCGAACTCCTGACTTCAGGTGATCCGCCTGCGTTGGCCTCCCAAAAAGCTGGGATTGCAGGCATGAACCACCATGCCCGGCCCCTAGTATGATATTTAAATCAAGAATTCCTGACTCCAGAGTGCTCTCCTGTGCCCTCTGCATCCATCACAGTCCAAATTCGACAGTGTTACAAGTCTGGTTTGTTGCCATTTTGGCCTCATTACCTTGATTCGTGTATTAGAGTAGATATAACAGCTGCAATAGACAACCCCCAGATCTCAGTGTCTTAACATGATAAGAATTTATGTATCACATAAGTCCAATGTGGATATTTGTGGTCAGGTGACTCAAGAATCCAGATCTGTTCATGCTGTGAATCTGCCTTCCGAAATATGTGGCTTCAGGTTGCCCAGGTGTCACCGCCAGCAGATGGGGAAGAGCGAGCATGTGGAGAAGGCACACACTCTAAACTTTCACAGCTTGGAAGTAACACATTACTGCCACTTCTATCTTATTGGTGAGAACCAGTCATATGGCCTCATATAATAGGGGTTGGAGACAGAATCTAGTCATGTGCCCATTGCATGCTTTATCAACATGGGTTGAATCAACATTCTAGAATCATTAGAGTTGTTCTGGGAGAAGAGATGCCTCTGACAAGAAGACTTTTGATTCTGATCTGACCACATGCTCATACCTCTATTCGTCTCACATTTATTCCACTGAAATTTATAGAGCACCAACTTTGTGAACCACACATAAGCAAAGATCTGCTGCTGAAGAAAGACTGGAATTCAGCCAACCAAAATGTTGGCGGGGCATCAGGCCACAGGCTGATTGGTCATGAATGTGGCCGATTTCCGTCAAGATAGTGTTATTCATATGGTTATAGGGTTTCTTTATTTTTATTATTCTATTGATAAAATGTTTGAAAATTTTTACCCTGTCACAAAATGAATAGCTGTGTGTTGTAGTCACAATTTAAGTAGCTGATTTCATGTACTTTGCAATTCTATCAGCTTTCTGACAGTTTCAAAATAGTTCTCTCTGGGAAACTGTGTGGCTTGGCCTGTTCCCTATGCTTCTCTGGCCTCCCCAGTGCTATGGGAATCGGGGGAAGTGGGGAGGTTAACCGTGGAGCCTGAGAACGCAACAAGGAGGCAGCTCAGTTATCTTGCTAAGACCTGTCTCTCATCTGCCAGAGAGAATGCAGCAATAAACACAGAGATATTTAGGAAGTAGCATGCAGGATGTGGGCAATGAAGGAAACAGGACATTTTGACTTTTGAAGTAATGATTTTGATGTCTGTAGACATGTGATGCTAAAAAAGTTAAACTTTTAGCTTAAAAAAAATCACTTAAGGGGGTCAGGTGTGGTGGCTCATGCCTGTAACTCCAGGACTTTGGGAGGCTGAAGCGGGAGGATTGCTTGAGCTCAGGAGTTCAAGACCAGCCTGGACAACATGGCAAAACCTCGTCTCTACAAAAAATACAAAAATTAGCTGAGCATGGTGGCGTATGCCTGTGGTCCCAGCTACTTGGGGGCTGAGGTGGGAGGATGACTTGAGTCCGGGAGGTCGAGGCTGCAGTGATCTGTGTTTGCATCACTGTACTCCAGCCTGGGTAACAAAGTGAGACCCTGTCTCAAAAAAGAAAAAAAAGTCCCTAAGTCATTTAATACATGCAACAGGCTCCCATGTCTCATTCTAACTTGAAGGAAGGGTCATGGCTGATCCCAGACTACTGGCTTGGGCATCTGAGTGGATGTAGTCCTTCCCTGAGAGGGGGTGTTGGCAGAAGGAGTAGGTTTGTTTGTTTATTTATTTATTTATTTATGAGATAAAATCTCACTCTGTCACAAGCCTGGAGTGCAGTGATCTCAGCTCACTGTAACCTCACTGTAACAATCGCTCAGGTTCAAGCAATTCTCCTGCCTCCGTCTCCCTCAGTAGCTGGTATTACAAGTGTTCGCCACCACTCACAGCTAGTTTTTTTTTTGTTGTTGTTATTTTTAGTAGAGACAGGGTTTCACCATGTTGACCAGTCTGGTTTCAAACTTCTGACCTCAAATGATCCACCTGCCTCAGCCTCCCAAAGTGCTGGCATTACAGGTGTAAGCCACTGCACCCCGCCAGGAGCAGGTTTGGGGTGGGCGTGGGTAAGGTTGGCATGGGGGAGGTTGTTCTCCTTCTGGACAAAGAGGATTTGAGGTACATCTGAGTCTGCAGAAAGCCATTCCTTATATTGTGGAGCTCAACCTTCCTGGCCATCTTTGTGTAGTTCCAAACTTGCTCTTAAGGGATAAGATGGAAGATAGTTTAGAAACCTAAGTGCTGGGGAAAACGGTCCAGCTAATCATATAGACTGTGTGTGTGCATGTGTGTGTGTGTGTGTGTATGTATTAGTACCACGTACCAAGAGGAGAAGGTTCGGGATTGCAAAGGCAATAGATATTCATCTGCATTGTACATAACATTTGTATATTAATTAGCTGACATAAAAATGCATGGAGACCTCCCAAGTCTCAGCCCCTCTCCTAATAGAGGAATCATTCTTATCATTGTTTCTGATTGTACCTCCAGAATCTCTAGTTTTCCTGTTGGTGAGGTTGGGCTAGTTATTCTTGAAAATAACTGGTTGTCCTCTCTCTTGTTTGTGGTGACTTCCTTTGTGCCTGGGTCAGAGTTGTAGGGGTGGGAGCAGCTGTTGAGGGGCCAGAGATTGACTTAGTCTGGTCTCAGGGGATGTCCTCATCTGAATCTATCTGAGTCCCTCTTTCTGTCTCTCTCCACTCACAGATTGTGTGGCATTTTGGAAGGTGGAGTGCCTGGGCACCTAGCCCACCACTTCCCGCCCCAATCTGGCCTTGGGCACAAGCCACATGGTGCTGGCCATCAGCCTGGCCTCTTGCCCATCTATTACAGCTTCAGCTGCCAGGCTGGCACAGGTGCCACAAGAACTAGGCCCTGCCCTTCCCCAGTGCTGTGCCTGCAGCCTAAGCAGGAGAGTCAGATGGGGAGAGCACACTCTGGAGTGGGAGGCCAAATCCAACATCCCTTGATGGTGGAAGGGAGGTGTCTGTGCCTTAAGGAGTACTGCTGAGGTACTATAGTCGTGGAAGAAGACCAGCAGCTTAACATGTGTATGGGTAGGGGACAGTGTTGGGAGGAGACAGGAGCGGTTGCTGTGGTGTGAAGGAAGACTCCCCACTAGGTCCTAGGAGATGTTTCCTCTCCTCCTTCCATGTCTATGACTATACAAAGCTTGAGAGACTTGTGTATGCTTCATACTTGTGGGCTTATTCCCAGGTGGGAGTGTGGACAGGGATTCCAGTACTGTGGGGAGGGACCTGTAGCTATGCCCAGGTAGCACTGCGGTGGGTCTGGAGTGAATACTGTATCTCAGGA